ATAACAGCGATTGAATACAATAGCATCGATTTGCACGAATGATAGATGAATACAAATAAATATACTCTACAATTATGTAAATTTATATACAAATAACTGTATGCAAATATACAAATAGTTATAAATAATAGTATTATTTTCTGTAAAATCTCTAGCAAATACATTAAACTTCATAGCACATACATAGTATTACAATTCGTGAAATGAACAAAAATATGCTGAAATTTTTGTAACAATGTTTTAGTTAGAGCAATGAAGTCAATTGTCATTCAAGCTATCAACTGAAATATCATTTTGAATTATGTTATTAAAGAAGAAGACATACATACACATATATAACAGAAGCAGATCTACATAGGAACTAATAGGGCTTAAGCCCTGGCTTTCAAGTGTCAACGGCCCACAAAAATTGAATTATCATCATAAATTTTATATATAGGCCCATATATAAGCATAATTAATTCTTCTTAATTCTGAAAGGATGTTGCCTTTTTAACATTAATCCTAATTTTATTATTTATTTTCCTATACGTCTATTTATTAGTTAATTTTTCCCCTTTATCCCCTATTATAATATTAACAATTTATTAAACAACAGTTTAAAAAATTTTAAGTCTTTGTTACCTTAAGCTTTATCCTAGCCTTTAGACACGAAACTGTTCATTATGCATTCTCTGACCACTTAAATCATGACAGGGGTCAGAACAAACGAACATTTTGTTTTGAATTTGTTTCTGTAAGTATCCCTTAGAGTTTACTTCATAAAGAAATGATCAAGACATGAGCATTTAGACCTTTTGGGGCCTTAGGCGCAGAAGATTGGAAGTCCCTCTATATAATTTTAAGATATCATGAACTCTAATTGTTGATATAGAATTGTTTATAAATTATGATATACAATTTGAATGGCAAAATTGCTTAATTTCTTCACAATTTCGGGGCCTCGAGACTCCTAAACATGTGCCTCACGTGCCAACTGTGCCAAGTGAGCAATCCGGTACTGCTTAAAAATATTTTGTGAGTAGCAATGCAGTAATTATGCCTAACAAAAACAGCCATTACATTTACAATTATTTATTTTATAATCTTTGGTAATGCGAAGAGTAACAAATTACAGAATATAACAAATACTTTTCCTAATGTTTAAGCCTGTTTATAGTTTACTACTATACTATTANAGGTAAATTTTCTCCCTTTTTTTTCTTCTAATGGATCATACGATATTACAAGATTAAAATTACCACTTTCGAAACTGTCCTTAATACTTATATAAGCGTGCAATGTATTCGATTGAAAAACAAAACACATAACCTGCTGTGACTTGATGAAACATAAAACATAAATAAGCAGAGAAAGTAAAGGATTATATAGCGTACTACTTTCAAATAATATGCGGTGCCACATGTAGCATAGATTGCGTGATTAATCTACATTCACGTGACTGTAGGAACGTTACGGTTGTAGGTAACTTATAGTTTAAAATCATATAATAGACAGTTAATAAAAAGCTTAGAATTATAATAAATCTTTAAACAAAAACGTCCATGTCGAGTTTAACATATTTTAGTTATCTTTTTGAGTAGAAACTGATAAGATTCTAGAAACAATAGCTTATTTTTTGTTACAATGGAGTACAGTAACTTTAAATGATTACTAGTAAATGAATGTAAAAGTATTAAAGAAATTATTAGTTTTATAAATTATTTTTAAAACATTTTAAATTCGCTATCGGATTTTATTATTTAAAAAAAAATCAATTCTTTAACTGTAGATCTTGACAGAACTAAACATCTCCAGACAGGTGGAGAGAGTCTATTCCATAACAGCAAAATTATATGCATTGCCACGCAACTGACTGCTTAAAGGTGTCGAGGGGTAACTTTTAGCTACAGTGAAAAAAATATCCTTTGGTAAAGAACATTAGGTAAGCTTCTAAAAAAAAAAATGTAGTAAATGGAATTTACTTTCAGCATTCTTTAAACATTGTTACAAGTTAGGGAAATATAAACTTCATTCGTTCTAATAACACATGATTATCTTTATTAAATAATTGTTACTTATACTTCAAAGATCTTAAACTTTAATATGACTCTTTTATAATTAATATTCATACAACTTGTCATATGAAAAGTCATTATGACAACCAATCAGATACTTGTTATAGATGATTTAGCTAAGTTATTTTCATTCATTTGCAATTGGATTAACTATGTTAAGCAATAAGAGGGGTAACTTTCTCACATTTTAAAATACAGTAATCAAATTAACACCAGAATTACTAAAATATAAGTTTTATAATACAATGATCTCAGAAGTTTGTTTCTTAACTGTTAGATTACGTAAAAATCCTCGAATTAAAATCTTTAAAAAAACGAAATAATAGTTCATTGTACTCTAGAAGAAAAAAAAAACACTTTTAAACACAGTATTTATTTTCTTAAATTAAATCGAATTATTGTTTATTACTTACTATTTTATTCTTTTTAAAATATCCTATAGATAAATATCTGATCAAATAACTTCATGAAATATTAATGTAGTATTATAAATAAGTGTACGGTAACTAGCGAGGCGTACAGAAGAAAGTACATTTGTTAAACAACATGAAGATCCCCTACAGAGAAAACACATATTGAAGATGAATCCTCCCTATTGTTGCACTCTTTTTTTTGTAGGACACCGATAAAATAATACCAATTTTTTAAGCTATTGATACATCGCATATTACAAAAGTTATTTTTTTTAAATACTAAACTAATTTTTTTCAAGAAGAATTTAGTAAGATCGTTTCGTCATATTTGACGTCGTCCCACTTTGAGTGGTAGAGGGGCCCCTTGGATATTTATAAGAAGAAAAAAAAAAACCTTTAAAAATTCTGTTTCGGAATTGTCTTATCGTAAATACATGTAAAAGTACTGACATGTTTGTAGTATTATCTCGTTGCGCCATTTTTGCGATTGTAGAAAGGAAAATACCGTCACTTACTTGATAAAAAGAAAGAGGAAATTGGGTATAGGATAAGGTGGCTGTGAGTCGGGATTAGAATACATCTTTCTCTCTAAATTTACTTATTTTATCATTAAAATTTTCATAGATGTTTTAACATAATTATCGACAAGATTTTTTTTAATGTATAACACGATTTTGCCTTGTCTTGAAGGACCTACAGATGTATAAAACACACGTGATAGATTCTACTTATAAATGAAGGACATTAAAAGTGGGATTCTTCAATCGATTGTGTAAAATATTACACAATCGACTGAAGAATTGACAAGGAACAATTAGATGCTATGAATACTTGGAGAGATCCCTGCAGAGAGATGTTTCGTCTTGCGTGCTATCATTTATTTCATATAGAACATATGAATTTAAATAAATAAAATATTAAAATATTCTATACATATATATTTTATAAAATTAAAAATAAAAAAAATACAGATTTGCAGTTAAAACTTGAGAAAATTGAATTTTTTGAAAACTGTATTAAAAGCCTAATAATGTGTGTAAGAAAGCTTAATAATTAAAAAGTAAAGATATTTAGAATTTAAATTAATATATTTTCGTGTATACATTGAGTTTAATTAAGTTAATTATCTTTTATCACGTGTTTAACAGCTATAAAATACAAGAAAAAAAAAACATTTCAAAATCCTTAGGCAATATTTTTCTATCCATAATGTATTTGTAAGTAAACTAAGCTAAAGAAAAATGAAAAATAAAATATCGTATTTTTAATATTTTGTCCATAATATTTTGTCCATTTTATTAAATTTTCTAAAAATCAGAACCTCAAATTTGTACAATTAATTTATATATGACTTAACGTAAATGTACACGTTCTTTTGATTGGCCAACCGAGTTAAAGGAATAAATACAAACGAAAATTCATCGGATAAATCGACCAGTTAACTGTAACGTTAAATGATAAGAATATTAATTTGCAACATCACTCTATTCATTCAATACAATATAGTGAGAGATAATTTTCTTAAAGGCTCGCGTAAAAAGAAAAAAGAAAGGCCATAATAAAGTCTAACAGGTAGGTTCCAACAGGTAAAATTTAAATTAATAGTCTTTGTTAGCTTATAATTGTTTATCGCTCTAAGTAGATTTAACCTTAATGTAAGGTATTATAAAGTCTACAGTCGTCTATAGATTAATATTAATTCTAAAAACTTTACTTTATCTTATGTGAATTAATGAAAATAAACCCGAATAATTAATTCCCAGCTATATAATGGTTGTCTTTTTAAAAAGGTAGACAAATTACTGATTATAACGAATTAACAGAGCAGAAGCTCTAGATAATAACTAATTTGAGATCCTCGTCAATATTTTATTTATTATTTATGTATAGATTCTAATTTATAGCTATTTTTCAGTTTAGAGCGCCTTAAATTGGAGTTTCTAAGATAGTTCTTACACTATTTTTAAGATAATCTACTTATAATATATATACAGATTTAATATTAAGCAAGGCAACATAAAATATCTATTAAATGACATATCTATTGCATATAAATTAAATTTCGTTTCCCTGATAAAAATTAGTCACGTATACTAGTATAAAATTCTAAATAATAAGTCTAAAAAACAAAAAATTAACAATATATATATATAATTTAGACTTATATAGTTAAATTAATTTTAAGATGGACTAACTTTAACACATTAAACAAAAAAAAATAAAATAAATCTATAAATATATACAGGCCTACTCATAAATATTCTAATATATTTATTTAATCTATTGGACAAATAATTTTTCTAAGTAAAATAAGTTAAGTTATCAGTTAAATTTTTACAGTTTCTAAATTTAAGTTTTGTCATTAATTTTGACTAATGATTACATTAGTTTTTCCCGAAAAACTTTTGCACGTTATGCAGATTTTTTTTTTCTATTAGATATGATAATCCCCGTTTAAAAAAATAATAATACATCATTTGAACTGATTCGTCATGGAATGACTAAATTTAAGTTAAAATTTTTTACTCACCTGCAGTACGTGTTGAATAAGGTCTTCCTGATATTGTTGTAACTATTGGTTTGCTTCTTTCTACAAGTTTTGATGGTAGAGGTNTTTTGGAGATTGAAGAATGCATTAAATTACTTTAAAAAAAAACGATTTCAAGATATTTTGTATATCTTAATTATACTCTTTCTATTTGTAAAATTTCCTCAACCTTATTAACACAAAATAAGAAAAAAAAGTGAATTTTTAAGAAATTTGCGGGATTTCCCGGAACGAGAAGAATTTTCCGAGATATTTCCCGGATTAAAAATACAATCGGAATCCCGGGACCCTGTTTGAGAAACCCTAATTAATACCTAAATAGTTGTACAACTTTTATAAATCGAATAAGTTCTTGTTTTCATCCAGAAAATTCCTTATATTTGGAACAAGATTCGAAGACAGTAAGCTGTTGATAAAAAAATGTATTTCGTTCTTAAAGACAAAGAATATGAATTTAACTTCAATTAAAATAAGATAATTTGACAATGTACCGTCTCCATTGCTTCTGTTATCTTTAATTATTTTAATTTTGTCTTAGTATGTTTCCAACTTTTTGGTGAAATCTTTCAATGCGTAAAGCATACAAGAAGTCAACAATAGACACAAACTAAACGTTTTCATTTGATAATTATAATCATTTATTTTTCATTACAATTTATATCTAATTTTTTATGTATTTGAACTGCTTTATATTTTTAATATAATAAAGTTTATTTTTATAGATAAATTTAAGTAAATTAATTTGATATTCAACTTTGTCACATGCCTAGGTGTATCTTTGCATTTGATTTCGACAATGTTTGATCTAAAATACAATTTATTATTACTAAAATTATATAATCGACTTTGGTAAAATATATAGCCTATATATATTATATAGAGTATATATTTACCAATGAATTCAATAATAATTTCGAATATTCGGTAGGTCCTTGAAATAATCTATTAATATGATTATGATTATAGTCAATTATATTAAAATAGATATTTTATAATGTATATTTTTACATTATAATGAATTATTCGTATGATTATTGTCTGTGTTTGTGATTTTTCTTGTAGTGAGCTGTTCTGTGTTCCGAACTACATACATTAGAAATGTGTTGTATATTAAGTCATTCTTTTATTTTCAGCTTTAATTATTAATATATAAATGAATAAACTTATATTTATTCTTTTAGGAAGATGGAAAGCTCCAGAAGATTAAATCTGACAAATAAAGGGCCTTAAAATACGACTGAATTTGACCTCAACATCTTGTCGTGAAATTATCAATAACCTCTCACCTCGTGGATTCGAATGTTTTAGATTTTTTACTAACTTTTAATATTGTTGTTCTTTTGGGTTCCTTTATAAATGAAAGTATAAAAGTCCATTCATTCATATATTGAGATATTTAAGAGTTTGCGTTTAAATCAACAGAAAAATATTGAAACAAACGTTAATAAACTCAGATAATATTTTTAAAACTATAAACTTGTTAGATTTTATTATGTAATAATAATTAATAGAATCGTTAAAGAAAATACACGATTTTTTTTAAGGNGGTTTGTGGGTTTTACTTTTTTTTTTACATTGAAATTTGTGGAATTAAAAAAAAAGAAACCCAAAATGTGCCTCTCGGTTTATTTGGTACTAGTCTACTCTTTGATTTTAAGCTTCTAATGCGAATTCTATGCAGTTCTTTCTTACAGGATATTGCTTAACAGCACAGGAAACTTAGAAAATGACGAATTGTGCAAGTTTACTTGTCTTCTCTATAAGTTTTTAGACAACAGAAGAATAAAACAAGTAATAACTTTCGATAAATTATTTAAAATTTTTCATTTAAAATGTAGATTTTTTTAAAATTATAAACGAAAATTAAATCATAAAAAGTTTAGGTGAAAAATTTGGTGTTTTCAGGTTCATTCCTTATGTTAGAGAAAAATAAATAAAATAGCATTCACATTTATCATATTTTTATTATTTTCTTTTAAAGTATACTCATATATTGACACAGAGATGTTAGTAGAATAATAATAATAATAAGTGTTTAGCTAATTAAATAAAGTAATTTTTTAATGTAGAATTAAATTATAAATAATTAATGCGTTACAAAAATCTAGCAATAATAGTATTATTATTATTATTAATTTTCATGGCAAAAAAAAGCACAATTTAAATGCGAGGGAGCGAATTTTTGTCGAGAACAGCAAGCGAGCGAAATTAATAACGAGCGATTTACGCTTTCTCGTTTCTCGCTCTCGTTAAAATCATATAGTGTGTTTATTATTTTCCATTTGTGTTATGGAACAAAAGGAAACGAATGGACGTCGACGTTTGTTATTGCCAAAGGCGAAACCAATCTTTTTCTTATTGTTATACAAAGAATAGATGTTTACTGTTAATTTATGCAAATAGCTAGCGAGATTTTTCATTTTAGCTCGTGCATTGTTTTGCTTTGAGGGAGAGAGAAAGAGAGAGAGCGATAACGCTTTAAACTTCGCGCTTGCTGTTGTTATCGCGTCTTAATGACCATAGCCTCGGGTAAAAATTTCTGCTAACCTCTAATTATTTCACCAGAAAGATAAATAACTGTTATTTACAGGTGATTTCCTGTCTCTACTTGTAATCTTTTAATTAATAAGAGTGCTAATAGACTACTTATTAATATATAAATTCTATTATCATCTAACAATAGAATGCATTTAGTCCATTATTTATTTTTTTTTTAACAACCGTTAAGTTCGTTTCAATGTAGGATGGGTTAAAAATAGATTATTTTGGAAACAATTATCGGATTCACAGCAAGCATAACTGAACTTCATGGTTTCTCGCATTTTAATGTCCAATTCAATGTCCTTCTTTTTCATCTTAGCTTAAATCTCCACGTGTGAACATTATCACAGTTCACCTGAAATCGTTTCTAAGTATTAGTACATTATAAAAATCAGCTTAGTTGCACGCCAAAATCTTTTGTCTATTCAGTGTCTAACATAAAAGTAATAAATTAAAATATCCCTTTTTTCTGGCAAAATAATCCAAAATTTACATTACCTTATTGTTAATAAGTTTTGTCATTTACCTTACACCTCTCACCCTTATGCTCAAGGGTCTTCTGCTATTATTTGAGCATATTATTTACTTTGATCGTCTCATTTTCTATATATATTTCAACGAAAATTTCGTCCTTTCAGACTTCGTCTGCGAGTACCCACTCGTCATATATACTGTATTTCTGCCCCCTTCTATTTCATTGTTAAATCTTTTATCCTTTATGATACGTTAAACATCTTTTATACCAAGATTTTACGTGTTATAAACGTTATTCTAAATTCATTTTGTATTATTCTTCAGTTCTCGTTATATTTTGTGTTTTATATTGTTACGGAGGAGAAAATCCTTCGTCTGTAAGACAATTCTTAGTGTATTCGTTAAAATAAATAAACTTTTTATAAAAATAACTACCTGCGAATCACCTGTGGCTGATAAATCACACTTTGAGAATCAGCTTTAGACCCTCAAGACACTTAACTACATTATAGGATCTATTATAGAGGCGGATAATTTTTTCTTTAACAATCACACTTGGTATGGGTAATAAAATACAATTATTTATTTTAATTCTAATACAACAATTAAAAAGTTAATGCATTAAATCCTGTTTTCTATATTTTGTACAGTTCTGTGATAAACAAAACCTAACATTAATGTTGATAACGAGATAGACGAGATACCGGGCCTACAGTGAATAGCATAGGTAAATTTTTACACTCCACAGAAAACAAAACTATATAAATCCAAATATTTAGGCCTATATCTTTCATTTTAAAAAATAATTGTTTAAAATTTATTATAAATTTAATTAAAAAGCACAGCTACCGATCGTATTTAAATTAAAATGCATTGGGGAGCAAAGAATTTCTTAGATGGTATTAAATTAGAATACATGCCTGAGGATATATTGACGAAGAGACTAGGCTCTAATAAAATAGCCAAGAACGTGGCTAACAGGTGGTCCAGACTATTTGTAAACATGTATCCCCAGATATTACATTTGAACCGTTATAATTAATACTTAGTCACATGCTTGTTGCTTCCGTGTAGAAGGAAGTGTCTAAACGATTATAATATCTTTATTTGTCTTGTTTATAAGTTGCTGGTTAAGTTTTGAACTTATCATAATCATTAATAACAAAAATAAAGTAATTTTGCCATTCATTGTTTCGTATTCTTCTCAGTTGCAAACAAAGATTACGTGAAGATTTTGTCTTAAGGCAAATGTGTTGATATAAGATTATCGTGCGTATACATATAGTTTCGTTTATTTTTATAATATTAAATTAAAAATTTTATTTAAATATGCTATTAAATAACTAGATAGACTCAATAAGCTAATTCGTGCATGGCCAAAGGACTCGCCACATGGGTTTTCTTCGCGTTAGTAATGCTTAAATTGAGGCCAGCTTTACATAAAAGTCTTTCCGGGATGCACCCTCTTTGGCAGATCGCTCACGTGTCGTGTTGTTGTAACCAAATAAACTAAATTAATTCTAACGAGCGATTATTTATTATGACATCGTCACAATGTTCTCAATCCTTTTAGTGGTCTTGCCCCTGTACATCATACTTTTCCCGTTAACAAGAATCGTAACTTCTTTCGGGAAAAAATTTTGAATCGAAGTAACGTTACTTCCTTTATAAATCGGAAGTTCGTATATAGTTAATCTCGGCCTCCTATCCTAAGCTTTCCATATCTGGTCTCGACTTTTATCTATCAAACTCTTTTCTCGAGACAGTCGAGAAAGGACAGACAGCCAGACAGACAATCGAAATTTATAGATCTATAATTTTTTCAAATTGCAGTCCAATAATTTCTCTATAGATGCAATATTTACGAGAACATACTTCCCACGTAGTTTATACAATCTGTTGCCAAAATTTAAACACTTTATTATCACATAAAAGGAACTATTCTAGCATTTTTACGAGATTTTTTTTATTATTTAAACAAGTTTTATGTGAAGTGTTTCGGA